AGTGATTAGATATTATACAGTTGTTCTTAATTAGGTAGCTGTAAAAGATGTCTCTACGGGTGTAAAAGCATGGCTATTTATAACACACATCATCACTATAGAATACATGAATCTGGACCATTGTGGTGTATATCATTCAATAGTCACAGTTTTAATACCTTAGTGACATAACATCTACTTAATGACTACTGCCTGATTACTAACAATTGTATGCGATATTTCCTCAGTGGAAGCGGACGTTAAATAAAGCTATTTCACATATTACTAACAATTTTAACTAATACACATACTGTATATAAAACAGTGGTTCTGATCTGTTTGTGGTACATACTTTCATTAGTAAACATGTTTTTATAGTTTAAACATAAGGGGATCGGGTCGCTGAATGGTTAGCACATGCGCGTTTGATCACGAGGTCTGTCATTGAGTCAAGTGGTGTGGTTTTGGTTCCCCGGTTGTACGTGACAATGATTAAGGACACCTGACCAACCTCATGGGTTTTCTCCGGGTCCTCCTGTTTCCTCCCACTGCTTAATACCCCTACGCGCAAGCTATTTATTGAAATAAAATTGAACCATATGTTAGTCAAGAAATGACCTAGTTTGTGTTGAGTGGGTGTTAAACCAATAACAATGTTTCTCTAATAGTCCTATTTAATTGATTCAATTAAAGAAAAATAAAACTGTTATTTGTTATCGAGTTGTATTTGTATAAAATGAATGATTTTTTTATTGAGATGTTTTTTGTAAATAATGGATGTTTTTGTTACAGGATTTAGTTATAGCAGCTTTACTCAATCAAGTTGATATCCATAAATTTAAACTGGTTTTAACTATTCAGGGCGGAGGTTTAAATATCTTGTAAGTTCTGTATTTTTGAACTGCTCCCACAAACAATCTATTTATATGTTAAGTCTGTCTGACCTCTACTCATATAACCGTCTCACACAACAACTTTTCATCTTCAACAGAATTATCAGTGAATGAAATTTGACCATGTGTCTGTTATCGCTCGTTACTTCAGTCAGTTATATAGAAGGATAACTTGTTTTTGTCATTTTATGGTCACTTCCCATTTCTTCAAGTGTTTGTTACGCATCTACCGTAGCAATGATCTCTGTGTTAAAATTATATTTAGATTGTGTTCAACCAGTTCTATCGCATATATAATAATGGCTGACACCAATACTGTCCTTTAACTAATATAATTGTTCAATGTATATATTTTCGACTGTCAATAATTCACCGAACTCCATTAATTTTAATGAACACTAAATACCAGATAATTAACCTAGATCAACTATTTCAATATTAAATTATTAGTGAGCACTAAATTCTATTTGGTTATTTTTAGGATTCCACGAAATCATGTCAATAAGGAGACAGGTGAGACTGTTACAGAAGATGATGACGTGTTCCAAGTTCTTGGCCGATCATTCGGAGATTTTTATCCTTCAATGTATGATCAAGCATCTTGTGAAGGTGCTGGTCTTCATGGTATCGTACATGCTGCTGATACCCCGAAACCATCACATGTATTAATGGATCTGTTGTATGATGAGTATCAGTCACATATGGTAGGTCAAAGGTCATGTTATATTGATTGATCTATAGGTCAAAGGTCATGATATATTGCTGTATTATATTGTAATGTTTTATTGATCTATATGTCTGATTGCTGTATTATATAGAAGCTTGTATTGTTGTCAGTAGATTATTTTATATCGATGTAAGATTGTGACACTACAGGCAGGGTTACGTCGTGACTATTCTTCGTCACCTGTGATACGAAAAAAACGTTTATAGAGGATGAAGATACCCATAAATCTTTACAATCTTTACAAAACTTCTATACATTAACACTATTGGAAACACAGTTTGAAACTTCTATAAATTGACACTATTGGAAACACAGTTTGAAATTCTATAAATTGACACTATTGGAAACACAGTATGAAACTTCTATAAATTGACACTATTAGAAACAGTGTATAAAACTTGTATAAATTGACACTATTAGAAACACAGTATGCAACTTCTATAAATTGACACTATTAGAAACAGTGTATAAAACTTGTATAAATTGACACTATTAGAAACACAGTATAAAACTTGTATAAATTGAAACTTTTAGAAACACAGTATAAAACTTGTATAAATTGACACTATTAGAAACAGTGTATAAAACTTGTATAAATTGACACTATTAGAAACAGTGTATAAAACTTGTATAAATTGACACTATTAGAAACACAGTATAAAACTTGTATAAATTGACACTATTAGAAACACAGTATAAAACTTGTATAAATTGACACTATTAGAAACAGTGTATAAAACTTGTATAAATTGACACTATTAGAAACACAGTATAAAACTTGTATAAATTGACACTATTAGAAACACAGTATAAAACTTTTATAAATTGACACTATTAGAAACACAGTATAAAACTTGTATAAATTGACACTATTAGAAACAGTGTATAAAACTTGTATAAATTGACACTATTAGAAACAGTGTATAAAACTTGTATAAATTGACATTATTAGAAACAGTGTATAAAACTTGTATAAATTGACACTATTAGAAACACAGTATAAAACTTGTATAAATTGACACTATTAGAAACAGTGTATAAAACTTGTATAAATTGACACTATTAGAAACAGTGTATAAAACTTGTATAAATTGACACTATTAGAAACAGTGTATAAAACTTGTATAAATTGACACTATTAGAAACAGTATGAGATATACAACTGCTCTATGTTTATCTATTTGGTATCATTTTTTACCTTATATGCAACATTTTTTACCTTATATGCAACATTTTTTACCTTATATGCAACATATAGAGAATCTGTTACAATAAAATAAAACCAAGTACGAACAATCCAAACCATAAGACAGAATTCGAAGTCCTAAAAAACGTTATAGGCAAAATAGTGTATTAAAGCAAAATAGTGTAATCAGCAAATGGACCCTTACAAAAAATATCAACACAATTCGATACTGTTAAAAAACAATGTGTAGAAGATTTTATTTATCACCCAACCCTTTCTTACAAGCACAAATAAATAAATATAATTCTTTTAAAGCGATATATCCTAGGAGATATTGCTCAGTAGAATATGAGACTTATCACACAAAGCAATATCTACTGTAGAATGTGTTGGTTGATGTTAAAGGTGTATATATGAACCACTAATTGTAAAGCTCTGTGAGGAAGCCTTTGTCTCTGTATAATTCATATACATTCGATTGAGAAATACTTCAATATAATGTCACTATTCCAAGATGGCAGAGATGATGTTGAGCTTGGTTCCTGGTCTATTTGTTATTCCAGTTGTATGCCAGTAGGGTATTCCCCATGTTATATGCCAGTAGGGTATTCCCCATCTTATATGCCTGTATTCCCCATGGAATGTCCATATACCTATATAGTATAATAGTATTAGTGATTGTTGTACTGTAAACAACTATATGTATCTCTATCTACCCCTAGTTGTTGTTGTATTGTAAACTAGTCTGATAAACAGTGATATATTTGTGTTTAGTTTGCTGTATGAATGTTGTTTATATTTTGTGGTTTTTGATTTATCTATATTTTAGTTATGTGCTTCAATTAGTTGCTGTAAATATCCCACCCCAGCTGAGCTACCAAAACTCTGGATGAACACCATGCAGTCATTTAAAAATTTCTTACTTCAGTCAACGCAAGGTATCTTCACCCACAAATATTATCGACTTGTTTTACCAGTAATATAGCCACATTCAACTAGTCTATTTGTTAGCAAATATTATTGTCATGCTATACCAGTATTATTGTCTTGATCAACCAGGCATAGTTAGTTGTTTGCGTATTCAGATTGTTGTGTGTAGAAACCTGATGAAACACAGTCTACTTGTTAGCCTGGATCAACCAGTCTATTTGTAAGCCTGGGTCAACCAGTCTACTTGTTGATATATTCTGATTGATTAATGCGGTCTAGATCGACCTATCAATTTGTTAACAAATTCTGATTGATGTATAAAACTCGATGACTAGAAACACAACCCTAGATAGAATTCTTATAGTCCTTTAAAATTTCTCTATTTTAACTATTAATATTAAAATCTTCAAGTCTTAATATACCAGTATGCTAATATTTACTCAAATTGATTATTTACCTTTTAAATTAAAATATCAGTGGTAAATAATCTCCCAGCTTGAATTCAATCAGATGAACAAGAGGCCCATCATAAGATTTTATCCAGAATTTACAGGTGGCACTGGTTTGATTGATTATTTAACATTTAGTTAAGAAAACAAAACGAGGCCTATCATCTATGACTTAAACAGGCATAGATCTCCATATTTTCATAAAGTATGACTTTAGGTATTGGTAAATATAACATCTCCGGTAGATATTTTCATAAATTATACTTTAGCTATAGATAAATATGTCTCTGGTCCATATGATAGATGATTTGTCGATCATTCGAAGAGGAGACTCTAATTCATAAATCCTGATTCCATTTATTGACCAATGATATATGTTGTTACAGGAGGTCATGGTGTAGTATTAAATAAATCTGGCCAACCAATCAGTGGAGCTGTATTACAAGTTGATAATAAAATTAAAAAGTGGAACGTTTCAACCAATGGAGCATTTTATTTGTTATTAACTGAAGGATACCACACATTAGAGGCCAGTTCTAAAGGTAAGATAATTAGAGGCCAGTTCTAAAGGTAAGATAATTAGAGGCCAGTTCTAAAGGTAAGAGAATTAGAGGCCAGTTCTAAAGGTAAGATAATTAGAGGCCAGTTCTAAAGGTAAGATAATTAGAAGCCAGTTCTAAAGGTAAGATAATTAGAGGCCAGTTCTAAAGGTAAGATAATTAGAGGCCAGTTCTAAAGGTAAGATAATTAGAGGCCAGTTCTAAAGGTAAGATAATTAGAGGCCAGTTCTAAAGGTAAGATAATTAGAGGCCAGTTCTAAAGGTAAAAGAATTAGAGGCCAGTTCTAAAGGTAAGAGAATTAGAGGCCAGTTTTTATAGTTCTTAGTTTTGTTGTTCTTTAAAGTGCATTATTTAAAAATAAATAAATTGTGGTATAATTATCTTATCTTTGTTAGTTTCTAAGGTCAGTCACTGAGTCAACTAACCTTGTTTCACACATGTGACAAGGAGTAGGGTCGCCAGCCAACCATGTGGATTCTCTGCAAAGTGCCTTTACACTCAAGCGAATAATTGGAATAAAATGGAACCATTGAATCTGGCCTTACTTTACAGGTTATCAGTCATTGAGTCTGGTCTTATTTTGCAGGTTATAAGTCATTGAGTCTGGTCTTATTTTACAGGTTATCAGTCATTGAGTCTGGTCTTATTTTACAGGTTATCAGTCATTGAGTCTGGTCTTATTTTACAGGTTATAAGTCATTGAGTCGTAAAATTCTGGTAAAGAAACAAGCAGCTGTAGAAGTGAACTTTACTCTACAGCATGAAAAAGACAGATTAGATTACCATGGTTACAAGGAGTTGAAAGAAAGGCTAACTAATTTATCCCAGCAGTATTCAGATTTAGTCAAATTACACAAGTAAGATTTTATTTAGTACTTTCTGAACATTGGATTGAGTTGGATATAAAGTAAGGGATTGGACGAACCCTAATAACTCTACACGTCACAGTTTAATGTGGACCATTAATCATTCTGCATACAGAAACTAAATAAATATTTTCAATTTTATTAAATACGAAAATTGAAACAGAATAAATACTTCTCTAAATTCTCGAAGTAACCTTAAAATCGTCAGTGTAGGAATTAAAAATGTCCATCTGTTCAGAAGAAGAGCTAATTGTTGGCAGACAGTGTTAGTTTAGTAAGAAGATAAACCTATAGGTCAGGTGTGTAATTGAAAGCATTGTCTGTCTTGTTTGTCTGTCTTGTTTGTCTGTCACTGATGTTTTTATTTTGATTAATTTATAGATTAGGATCTAGTGCTGAAGGTCGAGATATTTTAATGATGGATGTTGGTGTAAAGACTACAGATCATGCTGTACCACATGTCCTGTTGCTAGGCAACTGCCATGGTAACGAGGTCATAGGTCGTGAACTACTGTTACAACTTGTAGAATCTTTAGTTACTGGTTACCGTAGTGATGACTCTGTCACAGAGGTTAGTTTCAGTTGGTTTACTGTGGGGTTTATATGCTCCTCTTAGAATTGTGCTGAAGAATTTTAAAATCTAGTTTTTCTGTAAATTTCTTATATAGAAACACAATTTCCTTATTATGAACGTTTCCTTGTAGCTATTGGATACGACCTCGATTCATATTGTTCCATCCTTGAATCCTGATGGAGGTGAAAAAGCTGAACCTGGAAAGTGTGATAAACTTTCTCAAAATAACATCACATTTTTGGGTGAGTTATTCTGTCCTTATCTTCTCAGATATAAATAGATTCTGATGGAAAGAAACATTTGTTTTAGATCAGGATAATATAACTTTCTAAAGCTTCCCAAAAAATATGTCAAGTTTTATTTTGATTTACGGCAAATTTCTTAACTGCGGTAGTGTCTGGATAACGATGTCTATGTAGTAGTCATTATTTATCAGGTCACTGATCACGTAATTATGTTACCATGGTAATCAGATTGAATATCTTAAGCTACTTCATTTGTCACATTACAACATTAGTTTTTGAGACTAAAACCCCTCGTATTAATCTAAACACGGTGAAATATGGGACAACTCCATTAAGCATATGTAATTTTTGAGCCTGTAGCATCAAAACTTGGTGGAGCACAATACTTGAATTATCCACAATGTTAACTGTTATGAGGATTGCAAATCTACATGATTATTCAGAATGTTATTAATACTTATTATATCAATAAAAGAGATTATATTGATATATATTATATCAATGATACAGATTGTATTTTATCTTGTTTTTATTTGTCATCAGAATCTGCAAAATCTCCTGAAGTTAAAAGTTTATTGGACTGGTTGTCGGGACGACAGATAGCGGCTAGTTTTATTGTACGGGGAGGTCAACAGGTCGTAGCCTATCCTCAATCATCAACAGGTTTGTATAGATTTAATACAATAGGGGAAATCATCTTCAACTAAATACAGATTTAATACAATCAGGGAAATTATCTACAACTAAATACAGATTTAATACAAACAGGGAAATTACTAAAAACAGATTCAATCATTATTCCTGAAAACTTAAATTAAAGATATACGCCCCCATTTTCATGTGGACGCATATTGTTGTCGCCCCCATCCGTCCGTCCACAAATGGTTTGTGAACAATCTACAGGCCACAATCATTATCTAATTTTGAAGAAACTTGAAATATAGGTTTATCTCCAAAAGATCTCCATTCGATATTGGAATGCATCGGATCGAAACTTCATGGATCATGGCCCCTGATTGTACGAAAAATCACGTTTTTAGCTTGTGGACACTTTAGATGTCACAATTTTTATCAGATTTAGATGAAATATGTCACCATTACACTTTAATAATGGTTGTTAGAATTTCCTGAAAATCGGACCAAATCTGTCGGACAAAATGACCGCCTCTCGTACGCAAATAGTGTAAAAATATGGTATATCAAGGTTGTCGATCCTCTAGAGGCCACAATTTTGATCCGATTTTAATGAAACTTTATATTATATCACAAAAATCTCAATTCCTTTCGATAATGGGGCATATCCGAAATTATGGTCCCTGATCGTTTGAAAAATTGCATTTTTGACCCACTAGAAGTCACAATTTGTATTCAATTTTAAAAACCGTTTAAATATATCACTGTTACACATCAATGAGGGTTAAGTTCAAATTTCAAAAAAATCAAAACAAAACTGCCCGTAAAAATGGATGCTCCTTATACGCAAATTGTGTAAAGGTATGTAATATGATCGGATTTTGATAAAACTTCAAACATATCTTTATGTCATAAAGATCTTACTCCCTTTCGATATTTGCACATTTCAGACAAATAACTTCCCTGATTGTATGAAAAATCGCTTCTTTTCCTTTTAGCTTGTTCTCTATCCATCTCTTGCAAAATGTGGGTGTATCTTGCCTGGCAGTCGCTGGTATATTTTATACAGTACTTTGATCATTTTGTGACTATTTTATCTTTTCAATAATTGAGAAGAATTTGTCTAATTGCAAATTCCCCACCAGGCCTGGCACAGAACCAGATATTGTACACTCAGTTTCCTCCAGACTGTCAGAGAGATAGGCCATTTAGGGACTAACATATGGTTCAATGTTTAATTCAATGATTCACAAACACATGGTTGTCTTTATCAGTGGGAAGAAACAGGTGAATCTGTTGTTCCTGCTCTTTTATCAGTGAGAGGAAACAGGTCACTCTGTTGTCGCTGCTCCTTTATCACCCTCTCCTTTCAACTAGACAAAATCGAAAAGTAGTAAGTTGATTTTTTGAATGCAAAAAAGAAAAAAATGCATGTGATGGATAATTGGTACATGACATTTTGTGAATGGATAAGCATAGCCTTCCTCATACATGACACCTACTGTAATTTGTAACTATGTATTTCAAGTGGTTGTTGATTTATTGACTGGTTTATTTAAAGGTGATGACGAGACCCGTGGACAACAATTGGCTCTGGTTTACGCCAATCATCATCCTCTATTAATTAACGCTAAAACTGGCTGCAATATTGATAAAGATAAATTTATAGCTGGAACAGTTGAAGCCTCAAAGATCCATTCTAAAAATGACAGTGCTTTGGTAAGCCATCTGTATATATCTTACTGATCACATCTTTATATATGTCACTAATCTCCATGGTTACATCTTTATATATGTCACTAATCTCCATGGTTACATCTTTATATATCTTACTGATCTCCAAGATCTCCATAGTTACATCTTTATATATCCTACTGGTCTCCATGGTTACATCTTTATATATCTTACTGATATTATTTCTATTATTACATCTTACTCGTTATTGTTAATTTTGATTTCCTGATATATGACATTGTGTCATTGAATATTATCCATATTTACTGGGCACTACATAATAAATAATTGAGTTGTGGGTACAAACCTTTTGTGAAAATATTATTTGCCTACATTATTTCATGGTCTGTGGGAGTTTCGAACCCTTTAAACCACTAGTGGCCGCGATACACAAACGTTGGCTTTGTTTGTTTACTTTTGTGAAGTCCAGACAACAAATGTTAGTATGATTGACACCACAGTATGTTGGACGTTTTGTTGCCAGGAGCCCAGTGTAGAGGCTAAAGAATGTTCAGGGTTGGAGTTCAAGTAGACCATTGAACATGTTGGAGGAGGCCCGGCCGTCTATAGATGAAAATATGTTTAATATGTTTATCGGTTGTACCTGGATAGAAGTGGAATAATACAGGGTATATTTAATGTAACATGCAATGAAATTACGTACTGAATGTCATGTTAACTTCTAGGTTGAAAGAATGTTGAAAGTTGAGTGAATCTCAAAGATGTATCATGATAATTTATTGTTTATATTTTTACAGAATTATTTGTTTAACGTAAAGAAGATTCCATCCATCAACATCTATACCAGCTGCTGTTCGACACCTCCAGCAGATCAACTTCTCACTTTATGGCATCAAAATAAAAAGTCACTGATATCTGTTTTACAAGAGGTATGTTACCATAGAAACAATATAATATTTTACAAGAGGTACGTTACCATAGAATCTACACTATTTTACAAGAGGTATGTTACCAGAGAAACAATATTCTGTTTTTCAATACTCCATGATTTGACTTTCGTTCAAAAACGATTGCATTCAAGGTTTTAGACTGATCTGTCAGACCATCAGTTAGATATAGATGTTTTATATTAATTATTGTATGTTCAGGTACACCGAGGAATATCTGGTTCAGTACAGGACAAGAAAACCCACCGACCGTTCTCCAACTCAACTATTATCATAGAATCTGATAAACTAAAACAACAAGTCAACGTGGATAATAACGGACATTTCTTTATTTATCTTCCACCTGGTGTTTATAGAGTTACTTCCCTTGTTGATGGATATAAAAAACAGGTCAAGGTAATAAAGCACTAGTAGTTCTCTTTAATTAAATTCTCCAGCCAGGTTTCGTCATGTCAGGTGAGGAGACTGGTGTTTTACATTATAAGACCTGTCATTTAGTGGAGTGGCATGGTTTCTGTCCCACACTTGTACGTGACAAGGTGTCTGGTCACCCGTCCAACCCTGTTGGTTTTCTCAGGGTCCAAGTCTTCAAGTTTCCTCTCACTGCTAAAGGGTTAGGGTTAGGGTTAGGGCAACATTTCACCACTTGGTACCTTATCCCTGATATCATAGGGCAACATTTCACCACTTGGAGTAGAAAAAATGTTAAACCCCATTTTACTTGCTTTATTTTAATTAAGATGTAAGTTTTACTGCTGTCTGTACTACATTTGATTTCAGAATTTTCAATAATGTGGTTATATTGTTTGTTTCAGAATATTGAATTAGGGAAGAATATGGCACCATTAACAAGTTCCATAAAACTTGATGTTGAGAAGAAACAGAGTTTAGCGGCTTCACCTTTCCTTGTTGTCGTTGCTTTCAGTAAGTTTGAATTCTTGTGCTACTACGCTGTAATCTGGATATTACAATACACCAACATATCACCACTGGTCTGGTTGTAAGCTGGATATTTGTCAGTACTTACACCAACTTATCACGGACTGAAAAACAAGTATTGAATGTTTCGTAAGATGAATGTTAGGTTGATGTGAATGTGACACATGGTCAACCTTGACTGATTGACGTCAATGTTTGGATCCTGGGTGGAAGGGAGGGGTCAATGTTTGTATTGTGGGTGGAGGGGAGGGGTCAATGTTTGGATCCTGGGTGGAAGGGGGGGGGGCAATGTTTGGATCCTAGGTGGAAGGGAGGGGTCAATGTTTGGATCCTGGGTGGAGTGGAGTGGTCAATGTTTGGATCATGGGTGGAAGGGAGGGGTCAATGTTTGGATCATGGGTGGAGGGGAGGGGTCAATGTTTGGATCATGGGTGGAGGGGAGGGGTCAATGTTTGTATTGTGGTTGGAGGGGAGGGGTCAATGTTTGTATCATGGGTGGAGGGGAGGGGTTAATGTTTGGATCCTGGGTGGAGGCGTAGCACAACGTTTCGGTCCCGCGATCTTTCGAACTCCACACAAACAACTATTCTGAATTATTCTGACGTCTTTTCAGACTTGCAAACAATTGTTCGGACTTAATAATAACTCAGGCATTGGACTCGGGCTTCGGACAATAATAAATGCTGAATAAATAAAACATTATTAAATAGTAAATGAGCTTGATGGAATTATATCAGGTTAAATATCTTTGATGTGAAACAATAACAGATGCTGTTATTGATAATTATATCAGGTTAAATATCTTTGATGTGAAACAATAACAGATGCTGTTATTGATAATTATATCAGGTTAAATACCTTTGATGTGAAACAATAACAGATGCTCTTATTGATAATTATATCAGGTTAAATATCTTTGATGTGAAACAATAACAGATGCTGTTATTGATAATTGACAAGTTGTATTTTTCCTCAACCGCCAAAGAACCATAAGATTTCTTTACACATACTACAATAACATCAGGATTGTCGGCTAATCAGCTTTAATTATCCCGCAGTTTTTAATATTTTCTCATAAAACTATATGTATTGATTTTCACTACCTTCTATTGTTAGCATGTCTCTGAATGCATGATAAGGTGCAGCTGTCTGAAATGGGGTTTAACATCCTACTGTCACCCCGCAGGTGCAACTGTCTGTTTATCCTTCAAACTTTTCTTTAGTGTTCTGAGTCAGTCATTTTCAAATAAATTCATCAGCATATTATTCTTTGTTTTAATTTATTACTTTTTACGGGGTACAATGCTTGTCCAAGAAATGTAAGTGGAGCTAATGTTTTATCATTTAGTTAACACTATTTTATTTTCTTTCCTATTTTAGGTTGACATATTTCAAATAAATTCATTGGCTATTTTTTATTATATCAAATATACAAAAATATTACAAATACAAACATAATTATTTAAAACATAATTTTAGTATAAAATCAACATTGGAAATATTGCCGGTCCTTTCTAGGTCTAAATACAATGTGTGACCAACTGTACATTTTACCTGCATGTTATTTTTATACAATCAATTTTTGTTAATTAGTACTTTTGTGTTCAACTTTTTTCTGGCCCATCTGTTGTGCACTAGGGTCTAAAGTGCCACCTACTGAAGTTCAAAAAGCCAAGACATATTTGTTTGTGACTGAAATGTCAGGCGTCCAAAATGTCACGGGACCGAAACATTGGTACAGGGGAGGGGTTATTGTTTGGATCGTGGGGGAGTGATAATAATGTTTTGGGTGGGGTGAGGGGGATAATGTTTATATCCTGGGTGTGGAGGGGATATTTGGATCCTGATGGCTGTGAGTTGGATTGAGGTCAGGTTTTTTTGGAGAATTACTCTGATGTTTTTAATGATGGATATTTGTAATCAGACAAGTCTGGGTGTTTGTTAACAAGATATTTTACCTTAACACATTAATTCCTTATTTTACATAAAAACTAATTTTTACAATGTTGTTGTCTATCATTAATATTAACTGGGTATTTTTTTTACAGGTTCTTTGGTTTTACTGGTGGTGGTCATAGTAACAGTTTTTATCTGTAAAAAATATCAACGAAAACCAGTTTATCAGAAATTAGGATTCCGTCCTGCACAAGATGACGAGGATGAGGACACTTATCGAGAATATGGCTCAAAATCAAAGCTGATCAAACCGAAAGAATACCATGATTATAGTTCTGATGAAGAACACGATTTATACGTCCAAGATTTCCTCAGGCATTCCAGATCCTGATTCGCTCATTATTAATCCTAATCCTACCCAGTAAAAATCTCTTACAATTTTAACCTTTTCTCAGATTATTTTCTCATATTTTTTATATTGTTTTTTTTATTTATCGACATTCCTTAACGGCAATATTTTCTGCTCAGACTTGGTTTTTATCATTTTTTTGTTTTATTAATAAGTACATATAAAACATGATTTATGGCAAGGTAGGGAGGGAGGCAAGGTGGGGAGGGTAGGGAGGGAGGCTGTTGTGTGGAATTCATCACCACAAGATATTGGACTTAACTATATGTATTACAGTAGATTTTGCTTCAATGTTTACAATAGGATCTTTAATGTATTCACGGTCACCAACCATCAGACTTTTATTCTCTGATCATAAAATAAGGTGTAAGCTCAAGATGGGTGACAATAACAAATAAAAACAATTTCAAACAAAAAACTTATGGATAGATCTTGACCTACCCACCTGTCCGTCCGTCGTTCAACCCATCCAATAATCCACAAAATAATTGACGCAACTGTTGAAATTTTACGATGGTCCATAATTTACGCAATTGTTGATAGCCGATAATTTTGAAATTTTCTCCTCTGCTTTTATTCATCCTAGTCTTCCAGTAAAATCTAAAACTAGACACTGATGACGTTTCATTAAAATACAGAAATATTTTATGTGGAGATTGAAACATTTTGTTTTATATTTTTTTTTCCACCTTTGATAGAAATCAATTAAATCTTAAGATTTTTTATTTGGCTCAAAAATTACATTCCCTTTTATTTTCTGACATTTTACAGTTTGGTTGTAAAATTATTCTCCTAGGATTATACACCTGTAACACCTGTAACACTATGTATGTTTGTGATTTATTGTAAGCCTTATTTTAGATATTTTTTTTAAATATTACTAATGACTGTAAAATAGAATGTGAGATTTTTTTGTTTTTGTGAATATTTTGTCAGAACAGAAATATTTAATAATATTGAATAAACAGCTCTATCATGTATGTTAAAACATAATAAACTAAATAAATAATTTGTTTATTATCAGCACTATTTATTTAATAAACAATTTCTCTATACAGCTCTTGTATTGTGCAACCAGAATTATTTTATTGTTATGGTTACCTTTGGATTTGATTTTTTTGTATCCATGGTTACCATAATGCCAGTAAACTGTGTTATTGGTGTATCTACTGTTAATGTCTATGTTGTTATGGTTACCTGTGGATTTGATTGGTTTGTATCCATGGTTTCCATAATGTCAGTAAACTGTGTTATTAGTGTAAACAATGCTAACGTCTATGTTATTATATCCATCCTAATACCAGTCTGTATATTCCAATGTTGTATCCATGGTAATAAGCCATTATGTAAATATGTGTATTATAGTATCTATGGTTACGGTTAGATATACCCTTTGTAATTTCATGTGATATATTTATGTTATGAAAACTCATTCTTGCCTTCTTCAGGTAACTAAGTTACCTTAACTCAAGTTTAAATCAAACTTTTAACACTTTCTCTAAAATCATGTTTCAAATCAAAAATATATGCTCTCTACTCATCATTTCTATATCAATATTCGTTTCTATAGCAACAGACAAGGTACTCATCTACAAGATTAGGTTTAATATGTCACAAATTATTTTATAATTTTATGTCCAGTCCAGTTATGTATTTGTTATATTGAAATTGTTGTATGGGTCACATTCAGATGTTATTTAGTTTGTTATTTTCATGTATTTATAACATCTTTAATTTGCTGGTCTTGGGGACATTTTTTATAGTTTTAGTTAGGTTATAGAACAGTATTTTCTGGCTCTATATGTTTATGAATTACTGTGATGTGTAACGTATACCCACTGTATGTAAGTTATATTTCAAGTGGTTGTATAAATAGAGAGATAAAACAAAAATGTTTTCAAGGGCAAGACTGAAACATAAACTGTTTAAGTTGTGAATAATACAAATATTCACGTCTGTCAGCTTATTAGGCTAGGAACTGGGTCCCAAGGTTAAAATCTAGGGGTTGGGTGTTCGATGGTTAACGCATGCACTTTAAATTAGAAGGTGTGTCATTGAGTAAAGTGGCGTGGTTTCATTACCAGTTTGTATGTAACAAGGAGTGGGGTCCCCGGTCCAACCTTGTGGGTTTTCTCTGGTTTCCACCAACTGCTAAAAAGCCCAACATGCAAGCGAATTATTGAAATCAAATTCAACTATGTCAGTACCAATATGACCTAGTTTATGGCGAGTGAATGTTAAACCTCATTTCTCTCTTTAAAAGCCTAGTAGGGCTCGTCTAATTGAAGTAGGGCGAAATTTGACTCACTTTTTTCCTGGACAATTCCGCATTTATCATATGAGGTGACATTTCTAAAATGACTGATTAATTCCTGGTTCATACTAGGTCTACTTATTATCAACAGATATAAGTATAATTATGTTGATGTAAATACTGATATATTATTGAACATGTAAATATATAGATATATAGACATGAAGCAAGGAAGAGTGGGAGTTAAGTTAATATATTCAATAACATGTTACACAATATATTTGTTTTAAATATTTTAATGTATTAAATAATTATAGGAAAAGCCTTGACAATATTCAATTTATTTTATTTATATTTGGTCATCTAGAAATAATTGAAATGTCAACATCCCTGTAAAACACCTCTCAATTATCTGGGGTCCCTGAAATGGAGATTTATTCAACTCTGGGAGGGAGATTGTATATTGTGCCACTGCTGCCATGTTAGCATCATCTGCCGCCATGTTAGCCATCATCTGTCGCCATGTTGGCTATCATCTGCCGCCATGTTAGCCATCATCTGTCGCCATGTTAGCCATCATCTGCCGCCATGTTAGCCATCATCTGCCGCCATGTTAACTATTGCCGCCATGTTAGCCATAATCTGCCGCCATGTTAGCCATCTTCTGCTGCCATTATCTTCTTTCAAACGTCTGCAGTATCAATACCTGATATGGTAACAAGCAGAAACTGTGATTAACTCGGTGAATAAAGCGATGGCTTTATAACCAGAATGTCTAAGGTTAGTTTCCAGAGTAGACCAAGAAAGGTCTTCGAGAAATCCCTGATATTTAGAAACCCTTTGATGTCCGAGCAAACTTTTCCTTCATTGCACATTTGTTCCTTCTTCATTAACGTTAAACCCCACATGGTATTTGGTACCTGCTGATATTTAAATGGACCAATCACAAGACTACACCCCAGTTCAAACAGCGCCTTTGATAATATGTCAATAAAACAACACCAGTAACATGTAAAATAGCTTTATTTAACGGCCGCTTCCACCGAAGTGACATCGCAGACAACTCTAGTAACAGTAACTGTTATGAATTTGTATCAATTAGGGTTGGAGTGGTGTCCATCTGATTTATAGGGGCAAGGAAGGTTGGGGCGTGGCGCCGATATGATTTATAGGGGCAATGTTATGATTACAGATACGTCTGTTTTCCCGGTTAGACCTATATCACGTGTTTAAAGAGCCGTGAACAAATTAATCTGTGGGAAGATTTATTTCAGTAATATTGTATTTAAACCAGGGGTTGAGGTAGCTTGGTTGCCTAGAGTGTCGCGCTAGAGCTCTAGGTGACCGGTCATCTCTGGCTTGCGGTCGTGGTTTCCATTCCTGGTATAAGTGCATGTGGCTTGAAGATAGGGGCGTCTTCTCAGCCCCATATGTTTACTCCGGTTGTCTCCCACCGACGTAACATGATGGTTCTGACAGCACTTTAAAGTAAATGTGGTGACCTATATGCACCTTAAAAGTTAGTGTGACGACGACTGTTGACAGATTGTAAACATAATCCATATACTGTTATTGCTTGATCTTGACTAGAGAAGCTTAGTCATTAGTATTTCATAGAATTATGACCTGTATATTTCAGTCAAGTTAGACTGAGTCAAATAGTAGACTTAGTATATTTAATAACACATGGGAAAAATACCTTTCCATTTAAATAGGAGTGGTGCCATTTTTTTCAAGAGAAAATGGATTTTGTTTTTGATAAATTATGCGGTTTAACTTTTATCGCGGATGATACTTTTGTTTATCATTCAAATGAACTAATGACAGAAATATTATTAATGTTTTGGATACAGCTCGTGAAAATAATATTAAGTTCAATCCAAGTAAATTTCAAGTTAAAGTTCAAGAAGCATCATATTTTGAACACAAATGGACACCAAGTGGTCTTAAAGTGAACGAAAAGAGAGTTTAGCTCCATTTTAGATATGAAAGCACCAAATAACTTGCAGTCTCCTGTACTAGCGCAAGTTTCAGAACCGTTAAAAAACTTAAAAGTAATATTTCCTTTCAGTGGCAACAAGATCATTCTAAATCGTTTGATGAACTGAGGCAAATTATAACAAGTTTTCTTGTTTTAACGTTTTTGCAACCTTGATAAATCTAATGTCATTCAAGCTGATGCTAGTTTAAAGGATTTAGGTTGCGTTTTATTACAAGATGGTCAACCTGTTTTATGGTAGTCGATCTCTAACAGACGCAGAATCGCGCGATAAAACCTAGAGAGAGAACATCTTGCTGGTTCATGATCATTAAAAATGTTCGATCATTAAGTTTATGGTAAAATGTTCAAATCGACACAGATCATAAGGCTCTAGAAAGTAAATAGAAAAATCCATTTCAAGTGCTTCACCTTGACCACAACGAATGGCTAGGTACGAGGTTACAGTTTGTTACATTAATAGCAAAGACAATGTCATTGCAGATGCGTTATCTCGCGTTAGTGTAAGTACCTACTGATAGTGATGATGTTCAAACTGTTAACTAGAATAAATTAGACAGTGTATAACTGAAGATCCTGTTCTATGTTTACTCAAAGAAACTTTATATAAAGTTGGGTATAATTCATGTCAGTATGTCCTTCTGAAATTAAGCAATTCTGGATATATCGTGAGGACTTTCTGTTCTTCTAGTTTACAGTTTAGTAAACAACAACTTAAGGAATTTTTACTGCCGCATTTTGCTTCTAGTTTTCCCTGTCAAAAGCTTGGCACAGAATTGAGTATAATAGAATTTAGTATTTGTTAGTAGCCGATTATTTTAGTAAATTTCCTGTTTTTCGTAAATTAGATCGTACTACTTCATTGGATGTCATTAATTATCTTAAGTCTATATTTGGTGAATATGGCATTTCCCAAACTATTATGTTTGACAATGGACCTCAATATAATAGTTCTGAGTGTCGGATAGAGCACATGACTAGTTCTCCTTTATATGTACAGAGCATAGAGCACATGACTAGTTCTCCTTTATATGTACAGAGCATAGAGCACATGACTAGTTCTCCTTTATATGTACAGAGCATAGAGCACATGACTAGTTCTCCTTTATATGCACAGAGCATCGAGCACATGACTAGTTCTCCTTTATATGCACAGAGCATAGAGCACATGACTAGTTCTCCTTTATATGCACAGAGCATAGAGCACATGACTAGTTTATATGCACAGAGCATCGAGCACATGACTAGTTCTCCTTTATATGCACAGAGCATAGAGCACATGACTAGTTCTCCTTTATATGCACAGAGCATAGAGCACATGACTAGTTCTCCTTTATATGCACAGAGCATAGAGCACATGACTAGTTCTCCTTTATATGCACAGAGCATAGAGCACATGACTAGTTCTCCTTTATATGCACAGAGCATAGAGCACATGACTAGTTCTCCTTTATATGCACAGAGCATCGAGTACAAACTGTTAAGAATCTTCTTAAAGAAATCTGAATCCGCAAATCAAGATTTATATATAGCTATACTAAGTTCTAGAACCACCCCAATTTATATATAGCTATACTAAGTTCTAAGCCAACCATAGCCGCCCCGTGACTACGGGTTCGTCAGCTATGGCTTTTGTACTTTTTGTTAAAATATCATCAAAATAATTATATATTTAATATATAGACTATGCCGATTAAGCAACACAATTTCGTGAAAGGGCCTCTCTCTAATAAGTATTGTAATATAAATAGACTACTATGTTGAACTTAAAAATCCATACACCGTCAAAATATATTGAACTTAAAAATCCATACGCCGTCAAAACTAGCCTACATATTGATCAGTACAAACACACTCATAGATTGTAACATTTCATTTATAGTGTTATTGACCCTGGTTCGACACGGGTCATCATTCACGTGAGGTGAAATAGTGTCAACTAAACCCATGGCAGAACGTCCCTAGGCCACAATATCAAAACCCAGAGTAGGCCCGTCCCTGGACCACATTAAATTATACCAGACAGATACCTTTCCGATAAACTTGCCGACATCAATAACTTTATTTCAAAATGGATTGATTCATAGATTGATCAGATCTCATACCTCCCGTCACGTTTACTATTTCAGCAGATCAAACCATATTTACATAATTTATGTGTCGCATGAATTTTTTTGTGATCTATTTTTAAAACAGTAGTTTAGGGTGACCAGTTTTTGTGATCTATTTTTAAAACAGTAGTTTAGGGTGACCAGTTTTTGTAAAAGAACTATGTAGTGTTGCGTGGAGAAAGCGGTTATTTATGACAAAAACGTTTTTTTATGCTCCCACATTGAAATGTGGTCGTATATTGTCGACGCCCTCGTCTATCCGACAGTCCACCCGTCCACGGCCGTTTTCATTAGTCAGTTGGAGCAGAACAGTAGGACGTTAAACCCTATTTCATTTCATTTCATTTCATTTCATTTACGGTGGTCCGGTAGATAAAGTTTATCCGATATTAAATGTTTTGTATAATAAACTTTTATAGAGGAGAGAACTAGAAGTCAAGCAAGTTCCAATGATTATTTAATTATATTATTGTGTTGGAAATGTATCATTACTGATTTTGCTGCTGATCGAGTGTGTATGTTTTAACAATTAAGGGACAAAATTTGATGGATTATTCGTACTACTGAACATCAATAGTGGACATTGCTGAAGTTCATCCCGCCTTGTATAGGATTAAGTCTTATAAAACGAAACACTGCGAGATTCCCTCTCCGCCGTGTGAAGCGAGTCCACCCCCACCCAGACACCCTTTAGCAGGCCCAATTTCCAGTCCTGTCCCACCACTTTCAATCGAATAAGAATGCCCTGGCTCTGTTAGTTTGATGATCGAGTACTTAGTTCAATTCGTCGTGGTTTAAATAAGTTTTTGAAGGAACGAAGGAGAATAAACTTGATTTAAACGTTATCAGTTCTTCATTAGCACAGTTGGTGCAATGGAACTTGAAATCCATTTTCATTACATTTAAGGAGCATTTAAGAAACATTTAAGAAGCATTTAAGAGCATTTAAGGAGCTTTTAAGGAGTCTTTAAGAATATCTTATAAATGACTTGGGTCTAGTAACTATCTAAATTAACTGTTGAATGAAATGAAAATATTATAAGCCACAGAATCTCAACGAACAGAAAAACCTTTCTGACATGTTGTGTATATTGTATTCATCGATCTATTCCACAATGTAAACTGGTACGTCATGTTGGTGTATATATTGAGTGGAATCTGATGTAAATGTTATTGGGCTGTTTAGCGATTTATATAGTAACGGCTGATATA